GCCCTTCACTGAGGACGACTGGCAGGGCAGCGCGGTGCGGTGCTCGCATAGGGATGGGGCGAGCAGCCGGAGCCGCTGTCAGGAAAAGGCCTTTATGGCTATATTTGTGCAGGCAGCTCTGAATGCTCAGACCTTTATTCTTTCAGGCTTTTAAACTAAAGGTCATTTTCTCTTCCCTTCCAGAAAAAAAAAAAAAAAAAAAGTGAATTCCTCTTGACGCAGATCCCCTTCCCCTCTGGATGGGAGTTCGATTGTTCTTTACAAGCAAACTCCAAATCTGCCCCTCGCATTCACTTCCTGTTTCCTGCCAGAAAGGAAACAGAGATTTCGGGCTGTGTGAACTAGTCCTTTATTTAAGGATACAAGAAAATAGCTAATCCTAATCCAGTGGAGTGCTATGCATTTCGCCACGCTGCATTACAGAACAAAGAACGGGCAGCATACACCCGCCCTTCCCAGCTGAACACGGAGCTGCACACTGGTTTGAGTATAATGGGTATTTATGAACGGTATCCTAAAACATTTACTGAAGTCCAACGCAAACCCAAACCCTTCGGCCAGGAAGCTTTTAGCTACCAAAAATAATCACCAGGCCTGGTTAATATTTTTAACGATCGTGCATTCTTGGGAATTTCCTCTTCCCTTGGTGGAGATAAGTGATTAAACAAAATAAAGGCAGTGGCCATGTTGATACACTGCGACGTGTCAGGGAAGGGGCATATCAACAGTTCTTTTTTTGTATCTTTTTCTTAAGTCCTGACTTCTGCATTCACCGTCTGGCTTTTAGGCTGAATTCCACTTCTCTATTATGTTGCTGAAATCCAGTGAAGTCAGCAAAAAGACACAAATGTTTCCTGGGGAGGACTTTCAACCAAGGAATTAGATCCACTAATAGGGAGACAGTTATCTACGACACACTCCATTAATTTTATTAAAAAAAAAAGAAAAACCACTGAGTCCTACACATGGATGCTGATTGTAATTTTGGTACATCGCTATTTACCCATTCCTCAGGACTTCTCCACAGAGACCTCATCTGGGTTTGGTTCAGATCACAACCGGCCTTTAGAGCTTGTTTCTCAACACGCCGATTATTTTTAACGTAGAAAACTTGTAGTAGGTGGTAAGGTTTTGTTCTGTAACTGGATAGCTTTAACATTTCTGTTACTGTTGTCTGCAATGATCGGGAAAAGTTGGTGGGAGAGGGAGGCAGAGGGCTGTTGGCAGTCAGGGCTTTGGTGGAGAATGGAGCAACCCAGAAGAAGGTGCCATTTGGTGAGCAAAAATTGCTTTTCTGTGATGAGAAGGCAGTATTTCTCCTTTCAGGGCCTTCCTGCTACAGCCAGCTCTGTATGAGTCAGTGTGAAGGCTTTGGGCACCGGGATGGTCCTGTCCTTGCATCACCCAAATTGCACACAGCTGATGCCCCAGCTCCTCGCAAAGGGCTTTATTCCTTCTCCTCTGTGTTTACGATGTGTTCTTTCCACCCAGTCATTCCCTGTGGTGTTGCCTTAGGATTTCATAGAAATAAATAATGTCCGGAGGTCTTTCAAAGACTATATGGTCAGGTCTTTCATAGGGGACAGCATAGATGTCAGTAAATCATCTTGGGGAAATGCAGCTTACTTTCCAATATGCACAAAGGTCAGGGACAATGGAGAAAGTGCCTTGCTGCAATAAAACGCGGTTCTCACTGATCTACAAAAGCAAACATTAATCTGGATTAGCCCTCAAAATGGCCACGGATCACCCAGGTTCTGAAGCAGGACAGTCACGGTGGGATCACATCTCCTTCCCACCAGGGGTTTCAGCCCAGCAGGGTGCTGGAACACTTGGCTGAGGAAATCTGTTTAGTCACAAAGACAGCAAGACGTTGAGAGCCCCACAGGGTCAGTCTGATCCACCCTGTGTGTCTTTCCATTGCACACGGGTTTCAGAAAGATATGGTCATGCTCAAATGTTTTCTGAACGCCTGATACCCACTGCAGCGATGGGAGGTGAACAGTGAGATACAAAGCTGCTCTGGAAGTCAGCACTGAAACCTTATCTCGCCCAGAGCAAGGATAACAGAGCCCGTCACCAAGCTGGCTGAACATAAGAGAGGCTCTGAGCTTTTTCCTGTTTCTGTCCTCTGTCACGACAGCAGCAGCAAGGCACGTCCCTGCTCCCTGTGGGCTGGGATGTGCTGGGGTCCCACTGGCACCACGAAACACAGTGCTGCAGGACATGAGAGTTTGTCCCCATCCCATTTGATTGCCTGTATGGCAGACAGCATCTTACACAATGTTTAGTCTCTGCTCCCCGTCTCTCCCGCTTTCTCCCACTCTTATCAGGCTGTTCTTGAACTCTGCTGGGAGGCAGGGAGCAAAAGGGAGGCTGAGACATGGACCTCCTGCAGAGGAAGCCCACATTTTGGGGGAATTTTTGTTTTAATATTTTTTATTAAAAAAAAACAAAACAGGAGAGAAATTTCAGTGGCAGAGGTACCACTTCAGTTAATCATTCCAACTTTGGGGCCTACAGGCTCAACCTTTGAACTGAGGGACTTTGATCATCTCAGGGGACATTTTCCCAAATCCAGACTTCTCCAAGATGGCACTTTCTAAAACACAAAAAGTGAATAAAGTACGTTTTCATGTAAGAATTTTACCAGGAGCAGACAAATCTATTTCCTGGCAAAGCTGCAGTTGCCTGCCAGCCTCCCAAGGCTCTCCCACATGGTGAGAAGTGCTAACGAAGAAATAAATCCTATGGCAGCTCACAACGCCTAAAATTAGCAGTTAAATTTATGCAGGCAGGTTTCATGCAGGAATTTAAAAGCAGTCCATGGGTGTTGGATGAGTAAGCAGCAGAACATCCCTGCGGTGGGACTGGTGCTTTTGTTACCCACAGATGATAAAACAAGCAAAAACAAGCAAGGGGCAGTAAAGTAGTTTTTTCCACGGAGAATACAGGAAGGGGGAAGGAAAGAGGACCTTGAGCTGTCACTCAAAGACTTGGAGCAGCCCAAGCCTGGAAACGCTTGGTGCTATGCTCCTGAGGCTGCTCAGGGCTGGAGGTGAGGCTGGGGTTGGGGCTGGCTCTGCAGAGGAGAAGCAGTGCCCTGAGCATGCCTGGGTTGCCTCATGCTCCCCGCACTGCAAAAAGCCGTGCAAAGTGAATGTGGAGATTTTGTCAACTGACTTTGATTGCTGCTTGATGATTGATGCTGTTATTGAAAGCGCTGAGGGGATCAGTGTGGGCAGGAGGTATTCATCTGGAGTCCGTCAGCTGAGGGGAGAGCAGCATGCCATGCTAATTGGCTGGTGCTAATGAGGAATCTAAAGCCTTTCTGTTCCTCTGCACAATTCACGCCTGACAGGCCCTGAATGATGCAGGGCTGTTGGAAGAGCACGTGTCCTGGCTTTGTCTTCTTGTGTGAGCCATGCTCAGCCTGCAGTGAGTCCCAGCACCACCTCACCACTACTAAAATGTCCCTGTGTTGTGGGCTGGGGTGGCTGTTGGGGCTGTGTGTGCTGGCGGATGGCAGCAGCAGGTCTGGAGATGCTGGAGGTGTGTGGGTAGAGAGAGGCTGTGAGTAAATGCCAAATGTAAATCCACCCATTTGTCTGGCCCTACTGCCTGCTTCCCACTCCAGCAGCTGAAGGCTGAGTAAATACGAAGCATTTTCCACACATCCCATCCCATCCTTCTCTGTCGATGAGCTCAGAGCACTCCTGCATGTGGCCCTGTGTGCAACAAATGCCCCAGCAATGAGGGCAGGGGACACAGGAACAGCGGCATAGGGCCAAGCAGTGCTGTGGCTGATAGAGGCTGGGTCTCAAATTGTCCCCAAAGTTCAGGGGTTTCAGTCTGGAGGAGGTGGGGAGAACCTCCCATGGAGTCCTTTGGTTCGCAGTACAAAATCACCTATTGCTGGAAAGAATGATGGGCAGCAGAAAAATACCCTTTCTGCCAAGGAAAACAAATGGGGTCTTTCTTTAGCCATGCATTTATATAAATAAACACAGGAATATTTTGCAAGCCCTATGGGACTTGCCTGGAGTAGTATTTTGCTGAATCAGGGTGGGAGTCATCCTCCGTTGTTGAGCCTGCGCAGGAGCATGGCCGCTCTGCCTGGGCTGAGGATGCAGTGAGATGTGGGCTGTGTCCACGGAGCAGGGCAGATGGGGCAGCTCTGAATTCCTCCTGTGCTCATGCAGAACCATACGCACGTGGATCAGTGGAAATCGCAGCACGCTTTGCTCCAGAACAGCCAGGTTTTTTTTTGCACCCGCCACTGCAGGGACCATTTTTGCTTTCCAGTGAGTTGAGTGGCCGACGCGGCGCTGCGCCATTCTCATCCCTGACGCAGGGATCACATCGTGCTGGGATGAACCAGCCCAGAACTGCCTGGCTGCTGATGGATTTCAGACCATCCACAAAAAACCGGGCTGGTGCCGCACACCAAGATGGCCGGCCCCCTGTTGGGAAGATGGCCGCTGGCCCTGCCACGTTTGGCACGAGCCGAGGGTGCCCTGATGCGGCGGGGATCCCCGACGGTCCCCTCTGAGCGTGGTTGTGACGGGGAACAGCCGAGCTGCACTGTGGGCTGCAGGGCTGAAGGGCAGGGGCAGCCATCTTAGATCCGTGGCTGTACTGTGGGTGGGGGCCCAGGCGGTGGTCAGCACCTCCTCGCCGGCCTCCCGGCCCTCCCCTCTGCGCTGTGCCCCCACCTCGGGGGGCTGGCAGGCATGGCGCAGGGGTGCCGCCCCACAGCCCCTCTCCCCTCTGGGCCCGCGGCGGCCGTGTTTGTTCTCCTCACAACGCCCCGTTATCAGCACACAACACACACAGGAAGTCCTGTCTGGGATTGTCCATCCCCGGCCTGATTTATACAGGAAGAAAAGCATAAAAAGCCGCCCTTCCACCTCAGCAGCCACCTCCTGCCTGTGCGCGGCCGGCGGGCGGCCATGCGGGGGGTGACAGGAGGGTGCCCGGCTCTGGGCCCAGGGCAGCCATGGGGGGATGGCAGCCGGTGGCCACGAGGCAATGTGGCAGCGGGGCTGGTCCCAGCACGGCGAGGGACAGCAGGGCACTGCAGGTATGGGGTGAGCTGTGGCTGTCACAGCAACAGCGACGGGTAGGATGGAGAGGGTCGGAAGGGCTGTGGGGCTGTGGGTGGCACTTGCCAGCTGAGAGATGTCCCCAGTGCTGGTTCGCCAGCCTGACCTGTAGCACTGCTATGTATGGATGGATATTATATATATATATATGTATAAAAGCATATATATGCTATATCCAACCCACGGGATGGAGGGTTCGTTTTATCTCTGTGCTTGTGGAGGGAGGCTGCAACACTTGTGCGTGTGATTTCCACCTTTCTTTCCATAACTCCTTCTCTGTTTCCACCTGCGTGTCTCTGAGCACCTCCGCTGTAACACATTACAGGGCATGTTACGCGGGGCTCTGCCAGGGCTGATGCTGTGAGCCTGGAGCGTGCCAGCAGCTCAGCAAAGCCTCTGGAATTTGTAACCATGGGTGTTATGTGTGCTGTTTGAGTTACCCGAGGGTCCTGCCATCCTCATCTGCGGCATTACGCAGTGCAGGCAGGAGGTTCAGTTCCTCACCTGAGGTGTTGGGGGATAAAGGCTGGATGCGGGTAGGAGCAGCTGGGCACCCATTCACATGAAGCAGCATCGTGCCATTGAATAGCTCTTGACAGGCACAGCCAAGCATGCCTTTTCACAGGATCTAACATTCGCAGAAGAAATAATAAGATTTTGCAGGGAGTAAAATTAATGTGAAGCTCTGGCATTGCCTGGGGAGCAGTGCAAGGCAGAAGCTCGGAGGCCCTGAGCCTCCCTCACAAACCTGCCTCGACTCTGGGTAACAGTGGGGCTACAGGTGGGCACACACCTCTGCCCTGCCAGGCCCTGAATGTTATCCCTTGTGATCCTTGTGATTCCTCCCATCACTGAGTCAGTTTCTCTCTATGCTTCTGAGCTATCAGTCTGCACTACTTTTCCCTAGAGGTAAAGAAGAGAAATTGAGTCTGGGATGCAGGCTTATTTGAGCCATTTCCCAGACTCTGATGCTGCAGATGGGTCTGGCTCCAGGGAGACAGATTTACAAACTGCAACAAATTAGTGTAAACGAATCTGACTCACAGTCACACCAGCAGCAGAACTGCATGCAGAAAAAAGATTTAACTTAAGCTTTCAGGGCAGGCAGAGAAAGACAAGGAAAGGGCCTTTGCAAACAGAGGAAGGTAATAAAACCTGTTATTTAGTTCTCTGTCCCCTCTCCCAACGTAAATGTTATAGGTCTGCCCATCACTCAGGAGGTGATGGCAAGAAGGAGCTCCGCTTGGCCCATTTCTGGAGCTGTAGTTTTTCTCTTGATATAGAAGGATAATTACAGCAAAAAAAAGCTGTGTAATGCCACGCTCACTGGCATGGCTGTGATCAAAGGAACCAACTGAGCCATGCGTGCTACTTGCAGCCATTCCCACCACACTTTCTGTGCGCTCCTCAGGGAGTGATTCACTGGAAAAATGCAGAGGGGAGAGCTGGGGCCATTCCCCACTGACTAACGCCAGCTTTTGCCAGGGAATTTTCACAGAAAGCAGCAAAATTCAGTTTATTCCTAAGTGCGATGGATCATTTCCCAGTTTTTATGCAGCAGCCATTACTGCTGCCTTGAAATGCAGATGAGAACTCATCAGTGCTCTAACGGAAAGTAAATGTGGCTGCAGGATGTTGTCCTGTTTACGCATTTGTTTTTGCATGGCCACATTTAGGTTGCTGTATGTCTCTGGTGGACTCAGGTTCTAACACACAACGTTTGTTAAGCCCTTATTGAGGCAAAACAAAAATCACTTTGTGGGAATCTGATCTGGGTCATAATACTCACTGCACTCAGCAACTGGTGACGAGAGACTCAGTGCTATGGGCCAAGCACTTTTCTTGATTTGACCTGCTTTGATCCCACTGACATCAATGGACTCCACTAGATTTCCACTGAGATAACTGATCTGCAGCTGACGCAATAGAGAACAATATGGAACATAATAGAATAGTGGGAGGTCTTTTTCCTTACAGAACTCTGCAGAACAGGGGCTGCTCCGGAGCCTAAATTTCAGTGTAACATTTACAAACAGCTTTATGAAAAGCCTGAGCAAAATAATTTGTCCTAAGACAGAAAAAGCCGATTCCCCTTCTTTTCGGAATCACCAAAAGTTCCAATTCCTTCAGCAAGAAGCCCCAGCTCTGAGCCAGATCCCCATGGAGGCCAGCGAGAGACCACTGTGCACAGCAGGTACAGGGTCAGCCGTGCCTTGTGGTAGCTGAAAGGTTTTGCATCTGTATGTGTGTCACTCTCCTGCCTTTCTCCCCTTCCATCCATCCATCTCCAGCTGTCACTTCAGCACTTCTGGCCCCTGAATGTGAGCACACTGCAGGAGGGTCGGATCTGGGACTGGGTGGCAATTCTACCTTCTGGCTCACCTGGTGTGTGGCTAGAGACCTGCTCTGGGTGAGGCACCCTGTAGCTCGCACTGATGGTAGAACCAGTGGGAAACGAGGAGATTGAACACTGTTAAATCTAAGAGGGAGGTTGGCCAGAAACATTTCTGCCTTGGCCTGGAGACAAGTATTAATATTAGATGTCGTGGGAGTATGCTTCTAAAGTGCAAGGGAGAAGGCTTTGGAGGAAGCAGGGAAACTGCCTGTCCAAGGAAGACTTCAGATTCAGGCAGACGTGCAGCTGCAAACCAAAACGCCTTACTGCCACGGTGAGCAGCTCATCACACCGATGTTAGCTGAGCCAATTTCTGACCTTCCCCTGCTCAGAGCTGGTGCAACATCACTGCCTTCAAGGGAACTTTGCCAGGCTATGTCCTGCGGGATTTCCTCCCAGCATGATGAATATTGGCATCCAAGGCACTGAACCCTCCCTAGGAGTGGACGATTAAGGGCTCTTTTAATGGGCTATCTGCAGTTCTTAAGCAGATAACATGGGCTCTGGCTTGTGCAAAGATGTGGCCAAGTAAATGGAGCTGAAAAGCAAACATTTTGTAACTCAAACAATTGCAGAATTTTAAAATAATGCACTTCAGGAATTGTTGTGGAATGGTTGAGAGGGTGATAACGGAGACAGTGAAAGCGCTGTGTTTAGTAGTCCCACACTGAGGGATCTTTATATGAGCACATGGAAATGCTGCAGGTGGTTGAACACAGTGCTGGGGTACAGCAGCTGGGATCCCAAGTGAGAGGAAGGGAACTCTGATATAACTGGGGGGTGTCAGCAGGAATGGGGCACCCCACTTCTCACCGAGCTTTGTGAAGTATCTGGGACCCCACAGCAGGTCCCTTACGGGCTGGATCACTGATACCTGCCTGCAGGACAGAGGGAGTGTAACCAGGGGCTTTTCTGTTCCGACAGTGAGGAACCAAGATGCTCCTTAAGGAGAGGAGCCACGCTCGGGCCGGGTGACGGAGCGCTGCGGACAAGGTGAGTGCATTGGCTGTGCTTTTAGACCCTGTGCTTTCCATAGAGCCAGACAGAAGCTTTCCATCTCCCTCTGAGCACGTTTTGCAACTATTGAGCAAGTTGAGTTATCAGGCACCATTCATCTCCCCCCATAAACCAGAAAACAACAGTAACGCTTTCTGCACAGTGAGATAATTACTGTCCCTCTGAGGCTCTTGGGAAAAGCTGCCTGTGCTTCGCGCTTCGGAGATTACGTGAGCTGCAATCGTTCCCCAGAGGTTGGCTGAGTGAGCAAACTGTTCTGTTTCCTGCTTGTGCAATGTACGATGCTGTGTAACACGGCGCTGCGCTTCCACCAGCAGCCAGCCCTCCCCTCACTGCAGGCAGTGCTCCTGCCTCCGGATCCCATCGTCCTGCCTGACAGTGGAGCTCCATCTCCACCAGCACATCCCTGAGCTGATTCCCAGCTGTTCCACTCTCTCCCCTGGGTAGAACATGAGCAAAACTGCCACACAGGCCCATCTGTGGGTCCCCCAGCACACCTCGCATGCAGCGGCTTTGCTGCAGGGCGCAGCACAACTGGTGGCAGCTCCGATTCCACGGGGAAGCCAGCGAGCTCAGTTGCTCTTTCGCAGCTATTATTGTTTAACTGGTAAATGTTTCCTTTAAATGCCTACATGATCTCAAAAAAAACAAAAAACAAACAAACAAACAAAAACTTGCAAAACTTAATGGGAACAAATATTCCCAGGAGGGTGTATCCTGCCATTCAGTTACACATCAGACCCCTGCTATCTTTAAGGCTGGTTCTGAGCACGGGCAGGCGCCTAAGTCATTTGAAAAACAATAAGCCTCTGTGCTCTAATTTCCCAGGGAAAAATGTAGACAAAACAAGTGGCAGTTTGGCACTAACCGAACTGCAGATTTTTTTTATTTGATAAATAAATGAGTGCTTAATAGCAAAAGCCTGCGGGCAGCCGGGGGACCGATCTGCCTCATCGGTTCCAGGGCATCCAAGGGAGCCTTCAAGCGTCCCAAGGGCTCGCAGGGCTGATCCCTGTCCCGGCAACTCACTGCACTCTCCTGCAGGAGTTTGCTGTCGGAATGAGCTCAGGGAGATCACCGGGGCACGGTGGGACCCCATGGAGCGATGTGGTGTGTTGGGTGTCCAGGGGAAGGAGATGCAGAACCAGACACAGTCCTTATTAGCACAGAGAGATAAATTTGCCCTGGTCAACTGCACCGGTGACGGGAAATTTCACGGTAGCCTGGGAAGGGCTGGGGGCTTCGCAGGGATCTCCCTGCCTCCCCGTTAATCCCCTGCCCACCCAGGAGAGCCGCTCTGCAACGGGGTCGGGGATCTCGTAGCGCGGTGCGGGGCCGCCCGGGCGCTCTGCAGGTGAGCCTGGAAGCCGGCACAGAAGCGGCGACAGCACAGGGGCACCGCGGCAGCGCGTAACGGGGCCAGGCTGCGGCGGGGGGCTCTGCCTGTGCCGGAGCGGCTCGGCGGGGGCAGGTGGCGGGCGGCGGGGCGGAGGCAGGCGGAGGCTCCCCGGGTCCCGGCGCTTCCCCCAGGCCGGGAGGCACCGCTTTCCTCCCCGCCGGGAGCTCATTGGGTCGGGGCGGAGGGACCGGCTCGGCCCGGGGGGGAGGAAGCGCGCGGGGGGCCGCGGCGCGGCGGCGACTCCGAGGCTCCGCCACCGCCAGCGGTGAGTCCCGGCGGCTGCGGCCGCTGCCCGGGGTGGGGAGAGGGGTCGGAGCGGCGTGGGGGGACCGCGTCAGCCTCAGCCGCATCCTCCGCGGGGCGAAGCGGGCGGCGGGGGGAGCGGGGACGGCACCGCGCCGGGCTGGAGGCGGCGGCGGAGCGGGACCGGAGGGGCTGCGGGGCTCCGGGCAGAGGCCGGCCGGAGGAGGGTCCCGGGGGTGCGGGCAGGGCTCGTAGTGCCCCCGGGGAAGATGTACGTGCGGGGTTTGGGCCTGTTGTGGGCTGGGGGTGGCATCCCTGCGCGGCCGGTGTCTGCACCGTGCAGCCTCTTCTGCTGTGCACGGAGCCAGAGTCTCTCTTGTGCTGCTTCACTGCATCCAGCTCCGTGGATCCCGCTGCCCCGCACGCTCCTGTCCCTGCACCCTGCTCCCATCGTGCCTGCATCTCTGCTGCCGTCGTGCCCATGTCCCCATGCTCCATGGTGCCCAGGTGTCAGCTTGTGCAGAGAACAGCTGGAAATGTTTGTAAGGGAAAATCCATCCCCTGATGGTGGTGCCCTCCAGAAGGGTCTGGCAGCTGAGGGCACCACTGGGAGCAGAGGTTCCACCTGCAGAGGCAGGCTGTGCTCTTCCAAGAAGTGCAGCTTGTGTTATCCTTGGAGTTATTGCTTCCTCCTGAAGGGCATGGTTCTCTTGCATCACTTTGGAGACAGACCCTATCTCATGCTGCTAGCATCACCTGGAGTTTTAGCCTGGCTTTTTTGGGCAGAGTTGGACGAAGTACAGCCCGTGTCAACTCCCTTATGGGTTGTATTTTCCTGTTGGTTGCTGTTGCAAGTTAGAAAGCACAGAGGCAGAATGGAAGAGGTTCCGGCTGGCAGGAGCGGCCCCACAGCCTCCCTCCAGGAGCACGTGGCTGAGCCCATAACCAGCAAAAGCTCAGGTGCTTCTTTGTAGCTTCACGTGCTTTAAAAAAGGAATATTAGAATAGCAGTGACAACAGGTTGGAGGATCTCCTGCAGTTTTGGAGGGGCTGATTTTCACAAAATCATAAAAAACACAAGCATTTACTATCATATTTTCCACTTTTGAAACTTTATCCGGTATTAAGCAACCATAATTTTACGAACCCAGAGGGACATTCTGACTACTTGAGGTAGGACAACGCTGCTCTATTTCGAAAAGAAAGAAGCAGTGCCTGCGTTTGGAGCTTGTGCCCTGTGTTCCTTGCTTTCCCCACGGGGAAAGTTCCCATGGCGGCCGCAGGAATTCTGTGGGAGGACTGCGATGGTTGGCAGAGTTTGACTTACAGACCTCTGCAGTAGCACCGCTGGCCAGGGGATCTGTGGCTGGAAGGAAAATATGTGTCTGTGTGTAGCTCTGGAAAGGCACAGGCAGGCTGGGCTGTGTGCCTGCATCCTGGCTGCGACGGTGCCCAGCTCAGAACACAGAGCCTTTGCCTCACTGGTGATGCCGTTTGCAGGAGGGGCTTCTGTGCCTCCTTCACCTGAACAAAGAGATGCTGCTGCCTGGTTTGGAGAGGGATTTGGAGACTTACAGGTCTACGGATGAATATTCCCAACAGCTCAGAGTTAGGATTTGTCCCAGAGGAGTTTGCAGCTTTCTGGTCCAGTCTCACCCCACGTCACCAGAGGATTTTAGAACCTTTTAGGTAGCTCTCTTTATCTGCAGTTTCAGAAGATTGTTTCCTGTCGTGTTGCGTCCCAGTAAAGCAACTTCTTTTCCAAAGATTAATCAGATAGTCTGACTCCTTCTTTAATTGTCATGTGCTTAAGGTGGGATTCTTTATTCCTTCCTCCTTTAACTGCTGCCATCCGGAGGCCAACTGTTTTGTTTAAATTGGACATGTTTTTAAATTAGGCATTGTTATTGACCTTCTTCAGCCCTGCTTCGTATTTGTCCCATTGCTAGAAAATCAAAGCCTCTTTCTTTCCAACTCAGTACTCACTCTGTATACAGATGGTACATATGGCCCTTAAAGCAACTTTTCCCTGGCAAGAACTTGTATTTTAAAGAGAAGAAGATCAGATTTCAGTATGTTATATGGTGGGAAAATGCAGCTTTACAATGTTGTATGGATTAAGAAATTACAGGCCATTGTTTTGGCCTTGCTGCCTGGAATTGGCTGCATGTTTCGGAATGATGCAGGTTCTTTCTGTGCAGCCCCCTGGTGTGTGCCAGCAGGAGCCTGCCTCAGCGACGGCCCTGTCCCACATGTCCCCTGTTCCCTGTGCTGTGACCCGCTGGGTCCTGTACCCCCCTGTGTGTCACTGGAAAGCAGAGAACCTCATTCTTCTTTGTCTTACATCCTGGCAGAGCTTGCAATAAGGCACAGCACAGCACGGCCAGCCCACCCAGCACCGTGGGGATGTCTCACAGGGACATTTCTATTTCCTTAGCACAAACCTGGCCATCAGTCTCACGTCACCATACATCCCTCGGATGCCACCAGCTGGGGATGGGCACCATGTGCTCACACTGCCATTCTCTCTGTTCCAGAGTTCGCCGCTGAGCAGCAAGCCATGCAGTAGGAGCCCATGCTTCCCCCTGAGGAGTGACCCTGGTGTGTGCCACACAGCCCAGAGTGCTGCAGGACGAGACAGGACATGCGCCGAATCAGCTGCCTTCTTTCGGGACTCGCCATCATCCTCAGTGCCACCAGCACAGACAGTTTCACCCGGGTGGGGTAAGCCTCCTTTTAGTCTGCATCTCCCACATCTGTCCTCATGAGCGCATGCTGGGCCCCTCTGCAAGGCACCAGGGGCACCTGGCTGGGTGAGGAGCTGGGAGGAGGCTCTGCAGAGTCACTTCTTGGCTGGGGTCTGCTTTCGTCCTAGGAATTGGGTCTGACGCTGTCCCTACATCCCAGCACAGCCCGAGCATCTCCATGGCCAAAGGAGGTTTGGTGCTCAATGCCCCAGTTTCTTCCCCCGCTGAAAGGAGCTTGAGCTCAGCCCCCGCCCCCCACATCCAGCTCATTTTCTCCAAAGTTTGTTTTTACATTGAAATTCTCTCCTCTAGAATTAAACCTTTCACATTCTGGTCGTGACTAAACCCACAGGCTGAATTCCTCTCTCGCACGCACGCAACTTCAGCTATAGCTTTATTATAACATTTGCAAAGCAAACAATTTCCATTTAAAAACTGCATCTTCCGTAACGTTAACCAGTGAAGCTGAAAGGACTTTTCTGGAGTTAATGGAAGCCAGCTGATGTCCATGCTAATTCCCAGCCTTTTAATTCTAGCTCATAATTGAGCTGGGAGGCTGAGACGAGCATGCAAGTTCCTTGGTGGGACAGATCTGCTGGGGAATGTTGAAGAGAAAGAATCTTTAACTGATACTGGTTTGGCTGTTGGCCTTGGGAATGTTTTCGACTGGGTCTCACTTATCTTAGGAGGAACGGAAGGTGACTTTCCTCTGTCTTCTATCTTTTTACCATCAGCCTGATTCTTTCTGTGGAATCATTAATTTGTTGGTCAAAGGCACATCAGGTTCAGGGGCACAGAAAGCTCAGAAAGGAAAAGACACGTTTCAACAGTGATTGATTTTAGGTTGAAGCGAGACAGAGAATGGAAGGAGAACTACTTTGAATACATTTCCCTTAAATCTGGACCCCAACTGTTCAGGATGGAGAAAGTTTGCAGGGTGTGAGGGGGGTCAGTGCCTTTGTGCAGGCTCTGGGGAGGAAGGGGCCGTGCAGCCCATAGAGCTGCAGCTTTGTGTCGCTGCCCCTAACAGCATGAAGTCACCTCCTGGGTCACTTGGGCAATGAGCCACTGCCTCTTAAATAGCCGTGTGCAATTAGGAGTTGTCAGGCCACGTCCCCAGCTGGTGTAAATCAGCACGGCCCTTTCAGGACGATGGGGGAAGCAGCGAGTCGTTTGCCAACCATTGCCTGACCTGCTCTCCTTTGCTCAGCCGCAGGACCTGCGCTGCGGAGCCGCGGAGCCGCACAGCTGCCCACACCGAGTCCCACGTGCAGCCCGTGTACCTGCCCTACCTCACCACCTGCCAGGGCCACCGCCTGTGCAGCACCTACAGGTGGGGGAAGCAGCGTCCACAGCAGTGTGAGAGCTGGGCTGGGGGCTTGGGGCTGCCCCCTGACACTCAGCCTCATCTCTGTATTGCAGGACCATCTATAAGGTTGCCTACCGGCAGGTGTACAAACAGGTACCTCAGCCTGTGGCCTCGTGCTGTCCTGGATGGAGCAGAACCAGCAGCTACGAGATCAGCTGCAACACAGGTAACAAAGCCACCGGGCCACCCCAGAGCCCTGTTCACTTTGCTGTCCCCCAGCCCCTTGATCCTGGGTGGGTCACGTCCCAGCAGCCAGCTCTCTTGTTGACCGACACCAGTCTGATTCTTCCATCTACGTTTTCAGCATCCAATAGCACAACCAAACGTGGCTCAATTTCTGATTAATTTCTAGGCTTTCTTGGCTGCCTCAGGCCTTTTTCCCGTGGGATCGCTTATTAACTTTAGAGTTACCAGAGGATGAAGAAAGTTAGCAAGTTCTTTCCACATAAGTCAGCAGTAATGGAAGAGAAATGCTTTCAGGAGGACATTGTGATGTGCAACATAAAGCAAATGCAGAACACATTGGCACATCAGCAGCTAATCTGTCTCCAGAAGAGACATAGAGCAACACCACTCTCCTGAGCTGTCAGGGTGCAGCGTGGCCCTCCTTCACAGAATCACAGAATCACAGAATTGTAGGGGTTGGAAGGGACCTCCAGTGATCATCGAGTCCAACCCCAACGCCAAAGCATCCTTCCCCTGACCTGTGCAGGCCCCTCAGCCTCTTTCCAAACCAAGACCTGTTTGTCCCACTCCTGCTGCTCCCACCACACTCCCAGCACAGCCCAGCCCCACCAGCATGGAGCAGCCCATGCCCAGAGCTGCCACAAGGCTGTGCTGTCCTGTGTTTGCACACACGTATGGAGATAGGGGAGGAGATGTCCAGTCCCACCAAGTGATGCTGTGCTTGTTTGCCCTCACAGCTCTGTGCCAGTTGCCATGCCAGAATGGCGGCCGCTGCACCTTCCCTGGAAGATGTGCCTGCCCGCCCGGCTGGATGGGGCCTTCCTGCCAGACAGGTACTGCTGCACCCTGCTCCCCTCCTGGCCCAGGGGACCATGTTAGGTCAGCACAAGCTGGGGCTGTGCTCTGCTGTGACTGCAGTCAGCAAAGGGCCTTCAGCAGAGCAGCCCTCACACACGTGGGGCTGTCCCAAGGCTGTGTATTTACAGTGACCCATCTCCCAGCCTTTGTAAACTCTTGCTGTAAACGAAGACGCTCATTTGCTGCAGAACCTAAATCTGTAAAGCAAAAAGATCCGGGGGTGGAGGGGAAGGGCTCCTCTCCTGTGCGAGAGCAGCCTGATGCCTCACTGGAGCACGGGGATATCCAGCAGAGCACACCAGCATGGTGCAAACCACTTCCAACACTTCTCCTGGCTGTCCGCCCTTCTGTAAGGCAGAGGAGGAGTGTGTGGCACTGACCCGTGCTGGGCAGTGCAGGGCTGGGCTGAGCACATCTCTGATAGCTCCAGCTCCAGTGCTGGGGAAAGGATTTTCCCACTGCCTAGAACAGATTTGCCCAGGCGTGGGAAGCAGCTCTGCTCATTTTGCTTTGTGGGAACAGCTTTAATAACTCCCCCGTGTGAGGAGAGGTTACTGGGTTTTATACACACTTGAAAGGCTGATAGCTCCTCACCACGGCTGGCTGGAACCAAAACCCTGACCATAAATCCAGGATGAGAGCCAGACACTGAGAGCAGTGATATGGAGCTGCCTGCACCCCTGTGCTCAAGGATGATGCCTTCTCTGGCCAAAGTATGGGCATTTCTAAGTTTATCTTTGGCTTTTTACCTTTAGGAGGGTGAGAGGGATGTAGGAAGGAGGCCAGATTTTTCCTCTGGATAAATAAGTAATATGGGTATCCTATATTTACACCAGCATCTTCTTAGTGTGCTCCTACCCTGTCTGAGGGGCACCCACACAGCTGCCAGCCAAGTTTGGGGAGAGTGATCTGGGCCTTGGCCCATCACATCCCCACCCTGAGGATGTCAGTGTGGCTTCGGCAGGGGGAGCAGCATCTCTGCTCCATCTGCACCTCTCTGCCCCTGAGCATTTTACTCCCAGCCCTGTCCTCATGGAGCCACCCCTGTGCTTTCAGATGCAGATGAATGTGCCAGCCGGAGCCATGGGTGCAGCCAGCTCTGCGTCAATACAGCTGGGAGCTTCCATTGTGCCTGCTGGGATGGCTTTAGCCTCGCTGCTGATAACAAGGCATGCCAGCCCGTGGTGCCAGGCCCCGAGCCAGGAACCTTCAGCCAAGCAGGTAACTGCCCATTGCTGCAGCATAGTAGCAGCTGCCTGGGGGCTTTGGTGAAACCTGGGATTAACACAGCAGCACAGGATGGCTAAAGAAGGACTGGCAAGAGCTAGAAGATGGAACAAAACCTGCCTTGTGCACAAGCCCAGGCCCTGCAGGGGGTGACAAAGCCTGGCTGTGGTGTGCGGTGGTCAGGGCTGCGGCTGTGCTCTCCCTCATCATCGTCATCCTTCCTATAGGGCAGATCCATCCAGATCCACAAGGAGCATCAGGAGCTGCTGGTGACGGCCCATTATTACTTTTGGTACGCGCTGTGACACTTCAAACTCGTACCGTGAGTAATAATGCGCTGTGGTCAGCGCTGGCATCACGTGGCAACACCTGGGAGAGCCATCTGCCTGTCCCAAACACCACCTGCTTTTGTCACAACTCTACAGCGGAGCTCGCCTTGGGACAGGGAGGACATGGGAGCTAACTCATCTTTTGGCAGCAAAGGCATGAAAGGATATTTTGTCCTTTAAGCATCACCCCACAGCCTGAGAAACTCCCTCACTTTATTCTAGGTACTGCTGTGCTTGCAGTGGGCATTGCATCCAGTTCCTGAACCCTGAGATTCCCATGGAGGGGAGCACCAAGCAGCACTGCTTATCCTGAGCCCAGCACATCCCACTTCACCTCAGGCAATGGACTTTCACTAACCAACCCATTTGGTCCTTTTTTTTCAGATCCCTCCAGTGAAATGAAGGAAGAAATGAAAGACCTGAAAAACAGAGTGGAAGCACTGGAGCAGGTGTGTGTTTGATGTCCCCATCTGCCCCTTCCTGCCCTGCCTGTGGCCACGTGCAGCCAGCTCCAAGCCCGGGCTGCGCACAGCCAGGCTTTCCCTCCACCCCTGCTCTATTTTTAACACCACGCTGACCTCAGGCAAGCAGGGAGCAGGCAAGGATCCCAGCTGGGCTCCACACTGCAAGCAGAGCCTCCCAGCAGCTCTTCCAGCCCAGCAGCCCTTCGAACGCAACCAAACATTGCGCTGAGGCGCCTCCTGACTGCTCGTGGCTCCTCTTCTCCCTGCAGAAACTCCAGTTGGTGCTGGCTCCCTTCCACAACCTCATGCCATCTGCACCAGAGGACGTTGGCACAGACCCCATCAGCCGACTGTCCCACTCCCTCCAGCAGCTGGACAGAATTGACTCCTTGAGCGAGCAGATCTCCTTCCTGGAGGAGCGGCTGGAGACGTGTAAGTGCCTGCAAAGAGGAGGGGTGAAGCATTGCACTGTCCCCATTTTCCCCCCACACATTCAAACACCACTGACACAGCCTCAGACCTCAGTGCCACAGCTTTGCTCGGGGCTGTTTGTGCCACGGATCTTGGCTGTGGAGAGCAGATGCAAGCCAGCAAGATCAGTAACACATATATCACTATTAATCTTGATCTTCCCTCAAACTCAGCAGCCTGTAATTAATAAAAGATGAATTGGCAAAAAAAATGGCAAACAACCCATTAGCTTCATTCCAAAGCTGTCTGTTTGGCTGCACCATCTGATTGCGCTCATAGCAGCCAGAGTAAGAGAGGCACATGGAAACAGGGCTGTTGAGCAGAAGCAAAGGGAGGCTGCCTTGAGCAGTGGGGCACATCTCACAGCACTCTCACCAGCTCTCCCCCCTCTCTGTAGCACTGTAACTTAGTCCAGGATGAAAAGCCCCAAGTCTTAAAAACTTAACAGTGCAAAAAGTCAATCAGCAAAGTTTAGGGAGCGTGCCCAAGTTGGCAGATTTATGAGCCTGGGAAGTTTTAGGCATGTTTCTTCTTGAAGTCTATAGAGCAGCACTTTGTCACGCAGTGCACCACAGAGGTGCCTTAAATAGTAGGCACTGAGTGGCAGCAGCCTCGTGCTAAAGGCACAGGGATTATGTTGCCTGTTAAGAGGAAGGGACAGGGAGGTTTCAGGGCATACCCAGTCCCAGTTCACTGCTTGTGCTAATGGCTTAGGTATTAAAAACTTCAAAGAGCTTGCTTGAAGCTGCAAATTGACGCTTAAAGAAAAACTCAGAAAGGGGTAATTACAAAAACCTGTAAGTGTCTCAGTGGGCCAGGCTTCCTAGCATTGCCCCATGCTTATTATTAGTGACAGCACTGAGGAATGGGAGCAGCATCACAAGGTAACGTGGATTTGTTCCAAGGGATGACTCCAAAGTCCTGTATTTAGCTTCTGCCAAGCCTGTTCCAGCAGGCAAAACTTGCCTTTGTCCCTCCCATGTTCTTGGAAGTCCCTGGAGGATACAAGACTGTTCTGTTGTACTGCAGTGAGTGCAGAGCATCAGCTGCAGCTGTGGTCAGGACAGCCCAGACCCAGCTGGCATTCTTTTCAGTGCCTTCCCTGCCTTGAGGTGCTATGCATAGGCTTACCAGGCTCAGAGCCAGCAGGATGGAATCAGCAGGGGGCTGTTTGGCAAAGGAAAAACAGTAGAGGTAGATGACTTTTATAGGTGCCGAGGTCAACCTCATCTTTCTAAGGAGAAGAGACAGCAAGATTATTTAGCATGTGAGAAGACAGGGGAGTTGGTTACAGCCAGCACAGAGAACCTGCTCTTCTGTGCCCATTGCTGTGTTGGTTGGAGGTGCCACCACCACACCAAACCCTGGCTAACAACAGTGCTGGATTATTTACTTTTTTTTTTTTAATTATTATTATTATTTTAAAATCTTTCCAGGTTCCTGCAAGAATGAACTCTAGCTGAGCACCCAAAGAATCAGAACAGGCAGACTGTATCTGTACTTGTCTCTCTCTCCAGCCCCAGCCTGGGGCCGAAGACGCATCATCTCCAGGAAGACGCAGGGTAGAATGACAAGGCTGGTTTCCCATCAGATTCCCAGTATTTTCTCTTCCAACTCACCAAAAGTCATGAAGTTACTTCCAAACTGGTCTTTTAACCCTGAGCATCTCACCCCACTCCTGCTGGAGAGGCAGAAAATAAATGCCTTACCTCATGCCATTAGCAGCGCCCGTCTGGCTGTGCCAGAGATTGGCTCTACACGAATTCATGTGGTGCTTGGTTTTGTTTGCCTCTTCCTTAGCCCTGTAGGGCAGTTAATCATCATGCTTTTACACAGGCCTGAAGGCATAGAGCCTGGTTTTATTGTTTTAATGCAAAACCTTTCCCTGTGACACTCCCATCACCAGCACAGAGCAGACAGGGACAAACCTGCATCACTCAGCCGTGCCAACAGGGTGAGGCCAAGTCCCCTGCACACCTGCTCTGCAGATGGAGTCCAGACAAAGCCCACTTGTTTACACTGGCACAGCACCAACTGTTAAGGTGGCTGTTTTCCCCCACCCAACCGTTGCTGCTTTGGCAGTCCACACCAACCTCCCTAGCTCTGTTTGTTCAAGCCAAGGTTGCAGGTGTAGCAGAGCAGACGCGAGCAATGCGGTACAACACTTGGCTACAACCACAGTTGCAAGGAGGAGCCCTGTGGGTACAGCCATGCTGCAGAGTTATACTAAAATAAAGAGTTACACTAAAATAAAGTCTCCTACTGTGCACAGAGGCCGCAGGCTCATTACAGGAAGGATGGAGCTCCCTCCGTGGCCCCACTTTGCTATGGGCTCTTCCTCCCACAGCAGCCCTCCTCCCTCAGCTCCCACACAAAATCAAGAGTCTCCTTCGTTTAAATAATCAAAGACATACTTTTTTTTTTCCCCCCTCTTTAAGCAAAATACATTTTCTTAACCCAATTAAAACTGAACAGTAGACAAATGCACACAGAGGCATTGCTTCTTTCTCCTAGGTGCTGCATGAGTTGCTCCATTGAGCACTCCTTTGATCCTCCTGGGTTTCACCTCCGTAACAGCCATTTTTCTGCTGTTCTTACAAAGTGCTGGTTGGGTTTCCATCCTCCCACCCCGACCCGTTCCCTTGGCAGGTCTGACCCCTGAGACTGTACCATAAAGACCCTAGGATAAAGCCCCAGCTCCACAGCAACTCAGCCTAAGGACTGTCTGCCTTGGAGACTGCTGGCTGTGCCTTGCCCAGGTGAGGATTTACCCTAAAAAATGCCCTGCAAATCCACTTAGAGCAACGCAGCCACAGGCAGGCTCCAGAAGCTGACTCTGCTCATCTCACGGTGCTCCCTGCTGCATTAGCAAGAGTGCTCATGCCTCCCTGAGCCCCGGAATCACAGACCTGAGCCAGCCCTGCACTTCGCAGAGAGCAACAGCAAGGGATCCAGGAGCACTGCCCCATCTACCATCCCAGAGCTGGGAAAGCCCTTTATCCAAACTCCTCTAAAAGGGATGGAGCCTATTTTCTCTAGGGGGAAAACTGAAACTCTCCCCATTACAGACTCAGCTCATGCACCCTGTAGGCTCCCCACAAGTTTTGCAACTCCTGCGGAGCAGCAGCTTCACTGAGATCAGCACAGAGACATGGGACAGGCACCATCTTTCGGCCAGTGCTGACCATGACAAGACAAGCATGGCAGAGCCCTCTGCATCTGCACCAAGCACCCCAGGCGCCAGGATAATTGCTTGAGGAGGTCGAACAAACAGCACAGCCAAACCCACCCAGGCAGCGTGCACTGCCTCGGTGACACCACAGCTTCCCTCTGCACTGCTGTACCCCTCAGTGAGGGAGAGCACTTGTTCTAATGAGAAGCTGGGCTTTAGGAAAGGCTCACGGCTGACTGGCCCCATGCATTCCCCTTTTTTAGCTCAGTTATTGGCCCTAGGAGCTTTCCTCAAAGGGGGAAGGCTTGGCTCCAGAACGCCTGGGCAACACAGAGCCCCAGCAACAGATGCTGCTGAGATCCAAGGGCATCTCTCAGGAAAAAGCCTCGGTGCTCTGCTCCACCTGGGGATGCTGGCAGAAGCACGTTGCAGGGCACAGCACTGAACACAGGGCTGTGCTGCTGGACAGCCAGAGTCTGGATTTTCTCCCAATTCTCAGCACCAAGGTTGTGCAGGGACACACTGCTGCCTGCTGGCTTTCCATCTGGGGCAGCACCTAACAGCCAGCAGGAGCACGGGGACATTCACACAGGGCACAGCCCAGGCTCCTACCAGGCCCTCCTCACTGCCCCACAGCAGCTGCCTGAGCTGGAGAACTCACCTCTCTGATCATTGAGCCCTTTGGTAGCATACATTTGGTGCCTGAGAAATACAGAAAGAGGAGACGTTTCATTGCAAGATAAAGAACCCTTAAGAGAAATCCACTCAACAGGGAGCCTCGCTGCTGGCTCGATACGCCTCGTGTGCCAGTCCACAGCATCCCCAGAGTTCCAAGTCACTGCAGAGGAAGAGATGTTCCTTTGGTGTCTGGCAGCAGATGGGTCCCTTCGGCCACCGCCACACGGTGACGCCGCTGGAGCAGCAGCTAGGAGGAATCCTTCCCCTCGCCTGGGCGGCCCGACAGCCTGAAGAGGGTCTCCCTCATGATGTTGTGGCATCTGTCAGTGAGGTCAGAGACGTCGTCTGATGTCAGCCCTTTGGTTTCTATTGGCGGGAGAACCTCGACCTTGATTTTGCCTGGAAGCACAAGAGGAGCCTGTGAGAAAGTTCCCATCGCAGGAGCGCTGCTCTCTGCCCTTACAGAACACCTGCCATGGACAGGCTCATTGCAGCCCCCCAGGTACCCATCCCTGCAGTCATCTGCCCCTGCCAGCAGAGGTTGTGCTGCCCTCAGGGGAAGAGATTCCCTGAGAATTACACCCTGCCCCAAATAGCTGCTCCAAGGAGCAAAGCATTTCCCATGCCCTGACCTGGGGACATTAGAGGCTGCTCCCATCCTGAGCTCTGCAGGGCTGAGGTGAGCACACAGAGCTCAGCACCAGGTGCTCCATCCATCTGCTCCTGCCCAGCCCTCCTACCTCCAGCCAGCAGCAGAGGGAAGGCTTGCTCCCAACATTACTGATTCACACTGGCTGAAAGCCAACCTGCTGCCCAGCACTTACACTGACAGATTTAAGAGTTTTAACACAACTTGCAGAGGGGTCCCTGCTGTGAAAGACCGGAATTCAGACCATGCTTGCTTCTTCCCCTAAACACAATCCCTCTCCAAACCACCTGGGCTGTGCCAGCTATGTGAGGGAGAGGTGGCACCTAGTTCTTAATGAAAGCACCCCTTGGATGTTTAATTACATCCTCCCCTGAGTTAATCCAGCCCAGCTCTGGTGCCAAGTGCTTTGAACTGCCTCCACGCATCTGCTCAGCTCGGCCTCCCTCTCACATCCCCACGCAGACACGGTATCACTCCATCTCTGAGAAGCTATGAAGGCTCTTTCATACCTGATGTAAACAGATTCTTCTTCGGGTTGTAGAAAGTGGTGAAGGAGGAATACACCACGGGGATCACAGGGACCTTGGGGAGGAAGAGGAGTAATTGCAGTGGGAAGTCAGGATCCACTGGGGAGCACTGGGACATCCGAGGCACTGGGGACAGCTGACACTTCAGCCTCAGGTCAGCACTGCTTGCAGAGCTCAGCTCGGCTCCTCCAGGGCCAGGCTGAGCTGTTCCTGACCTGCACACACCGAGGCTGCCTGTTTTGACAGGCCTTTCTGTGCTGCACGAGCACATAGCTGGGGCAGGGCAGCCTCCATGCCTTCAGCTTCCGAGAGGGGTGTCACCAACTGCAAACAGTGCTCCCAGGAAGGCTCAGGCAGGCAGAGACAGAGCCAGGAGGGCAGGCCCAGAGTCACGTTATTTCGGCGCTGGTAACACAGACATGATTTGCAGTTGGTGACTCATGGGGAGCGGCAGCAGTGGGAGCAGAGGTGGGCAACATTTCCACTGTCCTCCCCTTCAGGCCCTGCCAAGCCCAGAAGGAGGTTGGCACCCGCTCCCTCCTCCAGGATCCCTGCTGCAATGCTCTGTGAAAGGGGAACATTTCCCCTCGGGTCTCCAATGATTCTGGTCCCAAGAACGGAGGCACAGCATGCACTGGAGGCTGAGGCACAGCGTGCGCCTTCCTTTGGCACCAGAGAACAGAGCAGGTGTCCCAGCTGGCAGCAATCCCCCTTGGCCACAGTTGGATTCTGCTGCTCCTTCAGGAGCACCAACAGCTCCAGTTTTCCAGAGCTCAGGAGCTGTTTGCTCCTCTCCCATGGACTCTGCCATATTGAGCAGAGAAGGCATCTAACACAGCACAGAGCAGCCCCTGTGGCAGCCTGGGAAGAGGCTGCTACTTTCACCAAGAGGAAGCCCGGGTGATGCTCTAAAGCACTAACATCAATAAACACAAATCAGCACTCTGCTGTTGCTACATGGGGGATTAAGAAATTAATTGCCAGCTGTGGGATCCCCAAGGCAAGCTCTTGGTGTGGTGCTGGGCTCTCTGTTGGAGGGGAAAAATAGGCATTCTATTCTTGCTAGGCAGAACTCAGGACACCTAAGGGTGGTTGAGCTGAGGAGCACAGCTGTGAGCTATGAGCCTCACCTGGGAACAAACCAACCACACCACAGCATGGCCAGCCTGCAACGCCACTGCAAAAGCTTTTGGGTCCTCATGTTTGGGAGGAGCCTTTGGGAAGCAAAGCACTGTTACCTGTGCCTGGACAGCAAGATGAAATGCTCCTTTCTTGAATGGCATCAAATCTCCCGTGCAGTTCCTCGTGCCCTCAGGGTACACCCACACCTTCACCTGCAGGAGATAAGGCTCTGCTCCAGCAACCTTCTTGCAGCATTCCCTCCCACCAGCACTGCCACGTCACCTCCCCAGGCAATGCCACAACGCCACTCACGTTCTCAGCTATCATGGTCTTGGCCACCTCCGCCATCACCATCTTGGCACTGCTGGTTTTCTTCCTGTTGATGAAGATGACACCCCCGAGGTAGGTGATGAGTCCCACCGTGCCGGCGTACATCAGCTCCTTCTTGCCCACCTGGACACAGCCGTCGGGCAGGACCTCCATCAGCCCTAACGTGACGGCAGAGGGTGAGACCCAGCAGCCACCCCCTCCCCAAGCGCCTGCACTTGGATGGGACAGAGGGAGGGGGGAGGCCCTTCCTGTAACCAGCACCAAACCAGTGGCATCAGGAGCACAGAGCAGTGCCGGGATGCCAGCAGGGCCTCCCACAGGGTGACCAAGAAAAGCGCTTCCCCCCTTGGGCTGCTCCTCACCCATCATGTCGAGGATGCTCTGGTGGTTGGACACAATGATGGCGGGGCCCTCCATCTCAAAGTTCTCCAGTCCTTTCACCTCAAACCTCAGGCCGAAGAAATATTTGAAGGACTTGACCACGGTTTTGATGATCCTACGGAGGAGGAGAAGAAGAGTGGTCAGACAGCAGCAGGGCAGGGATGCAGTGGGGGCAAGGAGACAAGAACAGCTCTGTGACAGCCTCCAGCCCCATCTGTCTGTCATTCACCCATGTGCCTGTCCTGCATGGCCAGTCCCATGTATTTGAGGGTGCTCAGCACACAGCTGAAGCACTGCAAATCACACCAAGAGAGCACAAATGTCAGTGGCATCCTGGGAGAAGCAGAGTGTAAGGTAGAGCCACAGCTCTCTGCTTCCCTCAGGCTGACAGCATCCCCTCACAACCAGACTCACTACAGACACTTCAGAGGAGCCAAGCCCAGCCTAGCACAGGTGCAAGGACTCTGCAAACAGAGGGCAAACTGGAAGCCCTCCATCCAGTGCAGGAGGGAGAGAGGCTGATTACGCAGCCTGCTCAGGGATCTCTCTTCCTGCTGCCAGCCCCATTCATTCACCACTCCTTTTTTCCCATGTCAGGGTTGTAAACCTGGCTGGATGGTACCGGTGCTTTCCTGCTGCACTCAGCACAGCCCCACAAGCTGTTCAAACAGCTTTTCCAGGAACTGGCACACCCCAGCACTCGTTATTAACTTGCACCCTTTGCCCCAGGAATGCTGTGCTAATCCTGCTCACTGCAGCACTTCTTTGCAGTGCTACCAACACGGGGTGGCATTACCTGAGAAAAATCTGCAATCTTCAAACCAAGAGCTTCCTCCTGCCAGCTCAGCTCCGCCGGGGACCTTAGGGTCCATCCTCCAAAGCTCCCAGCTTTCTTCCCCAGCAGCTCAGCTCAGCCCTGCCATACACTTGCTGGGCACAGCCAGCCCCATGCTGTGGCCAAACCCCTGCGAGCTCACAGCGCTGGGACAGGTGGGAGCTGGGGACCCTCCAAGTGGATCAAAGGACGCAGCCAAAAGCTGGCAGCACACAAGGGCTATTTTGGGCAGGGGAGCAGCCATTTGTCAGGACGGGAGGCGGAGGAGCCTGCACGTGAGCAAAGCCCCCAGGAACAGCCAACAGCTCAGCCCTGCCTGCCCTGAAGCACACCTGCAAGCTGCCCTGCCCTCCTCCTCTTCCAAAGGATGCTCTGCACCTCCTCCCTGACAGCAGAGAGCTTTCCTCCCTGCAGGGATGGCTCTGAGGGTCAATATTAAGTCCCATTCATTTGGGACCCCACCGCACTCACCACAGGGTCCTGCTGGAGGGTTCCCCACCACCACCCACCTGGGAAGCATCAGTCACCCAGGGCAGCAGGTGAGCAAGCTGCTGGCACCTCGTTCTGCCTTGGCAGCAGCTGTTTCCCCAGGTGATCCCCATCCCTTCAGCCACAAGCCTGCACCAATGCAACATCCATCTCTGCACCCCATGCACAGACCCTCGGGGCTTTCTGGCTCTAACACCAGAGTTCAGGGCAGGGCAGTGGCCGCCAGTTACACCACTTCATGACACAGCTGCCGTCAATCCCTGGCATGCAAACCTGCTGCAAAGGTCAGACCGCACCCAGAGCCCCGCACGGGATGAGGGCAGCACAGCCAGGGCAGGGCAGGTGAGGAGAGCTGGGGTGACACTGACCGGGGAGGTGGGGGGGAGGCCGGCAGAGGCTGCACCACCAGACTGACCTGCATCCCACTTCTCCTCCCTCCTGCCTGCCAACCAAAAACAAGGTCGCTGCTCCAGCAGTCACGCTGTTCGGAAGCGGCTGGGAGAGGCTGGTTACTCATTACTCAAGAACAAACCACCCAACTTCCTCCTGCCAGTGAAGAGCCAGCGTTTCCTTGCATAAGATGTGGCCTGAGCTGCTCAAAGAGGCGAAGGGGCAGAGCTGGGAGCAGCAAGGAGGAACTGGGCGACGGGCAGCCCTGAGCAGCCACGTCACCACGGGGCTGGGCAGCTCCTGCCCCCCCCAGCAGCTCCCTGTGGGGAAGATGATCCTGGCGTGGTGCAGCCACAGCCGTAAATCTGATGTCCTACCCGCCAGACACACGGAGCAAGGGGATAAATGAGAGGCAACGTGCCCTCGAGCAGCTCTGCGGAGGCTTTTTTAGGACTCTGATCGTGAAGAATTCACGCAGGCTGCTTATCGCACTAGAAGCTCTCACAAGAGGTTTCACCACTAGATAAACACATCTATCTATCAGAGGAGGGCATCTCTCCCACGGCCCAGCACAGCAAGGACAGGGCATCCTGCTCCTGCACTGACACAGCCTGCCCCCCAACATCAGCACCAGGACAACCAGCTCCACGGGGAAGCTGTAGCAATAAGGATCCACAGACCTCCCAGAATTTGGGAGCTGCACCAGCAGCTGGAGCCAGCGAGTGGAAATGATGGGCTTGGGTTACAGGAAAAGGGTGGTTCTGGCTACAGCTCAGCTCTGAGCTTCAACAGGAGGATTGCTCTGCACAAGGAGCTCTTCTTCCTGAAGAAGTTCCGTTCTAAGTTGACAGATTTCAGAAGTTTTAGGGACGAAAACAGAGCCAGCATCGTACGCTGCCCCGGTTACAAGGCTGGGTGTCAACTTCTGGGAGGAGATCCTGCCCTAGGAGCTCAGCATGGACTGCAGGGCAGAGCAGCTCGCAGCAGCACCCAACGCACAGCACAGGGCACTTCCTACCGGCACCCAACGCTCCTCCCCAGCCCCTGCTCTGAGCTCAGCTCACCACAACCCCACAGCTGCCAAAGTGTGGATCTGCCCCACCTCTCATCCACGCTGATGCATGGAGGCTGAGGGCTCCACTCCCCCCCAAGAGGAGCCTCTCTACAAACACAGCTTGGAGTAGGGAAGACAGAGCAGAGAAGGAAAGCTGACAGCAGGGCCCGGAAGCCAACACCAAGCCAAATTCCCCTGTGCCACCCACAGCAGTGCTAACCCTGCCCTCAGTGCCCCACACACATGGGTCTGGCCCGGAAGATGGGACCCAGGCCTACCAGCACAGCTGGGGCTGCCCCACATCCCTCTGAAAGGACACGACGTGCCACCCGGCAGCTCTCTGGGCACAGCCATGGCTGCTGCGTCGCCTTCAGGCCCCAGCATTCTACAGCCCCACTGAGGTTCCATCTCTGATTGATGGTGGGGAGGAAGGAGATCCCAGCCTAGGCTAAGGACTTTGTAGTCTTCCAGCTCACCTCCCAACCTGAAACAGTTCCCACTTGAAGCAGCACACACAGCCTCCCATAGCATCCCCCAGACCCCCTCCACCTTACAGGGGAACCGCAGCTCCGTGCCACCCCCTGCAAGGACCCCACTGCCCCCCACTTCGCCCCCACCTACCCACCCACCTCATGTTCTTGACGGTGCGGCCGCCGTTGACGAGGAGGCAGACGGGAGCGGTGAGCCCGGAGCAGACGATGCACAACACGTAGTAAAAACCGATGCGCAACGCGAAGTTCACAGCCGGGCTGAGCTCCATCAGGAGGTGCAGCAGCAGCAGCACCGCCGCACCCCATAGCAGCCAACCCAGCTCCATGCCGCGTCCCCGGGACCCTCCGAGCCCAACCCTGCAACCACCTTATCTCCCCCCACGGCCGCTCGGAACGGCGTGCGCTCCCCCCGCCTTATGTGGGCGGTGCGCCCGGCTCAGCTCAGCCCCCTCCGCCACGACTTCGGCCGCACCGCCCTCCGTGGGGCGGGGAGAGAGCGAGGAGGGGGGGGGGTTCAGGGCTCGGAGCTCTGTGACGGGGCCTGGAGCGGGTGGGGGAGCCGTGGGTGGGGGTTGGGGTGCAGTTGTGGTGTTGTGGGGCGGTTTTGGGTCCCTCCTCTTGGTGCGACGCCGGGTTTTTGTATCCTTTGTGGCGTGGTTGGGGAGCTTTGGGGTGCCCACGCGGTGCTCATCAGGGTCAAAGGGTCCCTCCTTGAGTGAGATTGGGTTTCTTCGTGGTGCTATGGGGAGGGCTGTCCTGGCATGATGCGGGGTCTTTGGGGTCCCTCGTGGTGCTGTGTGGGGCGTTTTTGTGTCCCCTCACTGTGTGATGTAGGGTTTTTGTATCCCACATTGGTATGGGGTCCTCCCACGCCTCCAATGCATCCCATGGCATTGGTGTGGGATCTTTGGGTCCCTTCTGGTGTGATGTGGGGTCTGTGAGTTTTCTCATGCTGCTGTGGGTGGTCTTTGGTCGCTCTTTGTAGGATCTTTGGGTTTCTTCATGGTGCCACAGGAGGATCCTGAGGTCCCTCTTGGCACAACGTGGGGGTCTTTAGGTTTCTTTATGCTTTCCATATTGGGACTTTGGGTCTCCATGTGACAGCTTTTGTGGAGAGGCCAGGGTGGGTCACTGGTTCTCCATAGGCACCAATGGGCAGGGCAGGGGGAAGTTCCTTCACCTGCACTGATGTGAGCTCAGGATGAGGCCTGAGAGCTTCGTGGGCACTGAGCTGAGATGGAAGGCAGTCTGCTGGATTCACCACAAACCACCCCAACCGCCTTCAGCAGGTTTCACAACACTGCATTAAAATCCCCATCCCGGGGCTGTTTGTGACTCCATCAGGGTGAGCCACAGCCTCAGCAGCGCATGGGGTTTGCAGCCCCAGCATCATCAGCACAGCCAACCTTACAGCTCCTGGGGAAGTGGAGGAAAAGCCATCGCTCCTTCCCACATAACTCCTGTTCCTTTGGTTCTCTCTTGACCCAATGTCAGAGATGGGCAACCGATATCAACCACTGATAGCCCTGGGGGCAGCTCAGCAGCTGTAGCATCTGACCCACAGACAATCCCTTTCTCTCTGTGGCAGAGCGGGGCCAGAACTCCCACAGCTGCCAGGCAATGACATCTCAGAGCTGGTCTCATGATTCCTGCTCGTACCACAAAGAGCCCTCATTGTATCAGCATCGCAGCGTTGGGTTCATCCCTCAGGCCCATGCTGGGGAGGAGCGACTCCCATCCAGCAGAGCACGGGCTGCCTGCAGCACATCTGTGCTATCCTTGTGATTTTCTCTCTTTTTTTTCTTTTTTTAACAGGGAGAGAAAGTCCCTGGTGAGCTGTCACTGGGGTGTGTGTGAGCCACACAGTGCCACAGAGCATCTCCCATGCGTGCAGGGGGATGAGGGCACGTGGGTGCTGCACAGGCTTCTGCTGCCCGTGGTCCCACCATGCTGTGTTCCTAGGCTGTACCACGTCAGTGAGCTCATGGCAGCAGAATAAACAGCTGAGGAGGAACTGGGATGTTGACTCGGTGTGGCTGCACTGCAGTAGTCTGCAGGACTACATAGCAACAGGGCTGCACAAAACCTTGGAGCCCTCAGAACTGCTCAGCTGCGCTGGGGTTGGGAATAGGGATGGGGCTGGGGATGAGGTGGGGGTTGGGGATGCACAGCCTGCTGTGCTCTCTCAGAAAAGAAAGCGTAACGAGGAGAGAGTTTGTCTTTAGAAATGAGCGGTCAGAAAGAAGAAAATATTGCAAAAGGATATTAGATAAGCAGGGAAGGAAAGCTCTGCTTGTGCAACCTTTACCCAGCGACAGATAATGATTGGGAAAGTAACTTCTCTATCTGCTCGGATGCTAACTGCAGCCAGATGTGGTTTTATGGCCCCTTCGGTCAGGGGACACGAGCACTCAGCATATTTCATACCTGCAGCAAACATCTCTTGTGTTCTGTGGGTCTGAGAGCATAGCAGGGCCAAGGCCAGGCCGAGGGGAGCAGCAAGGTGCTGCTGGTGGCCATTTGCTCCCCAGAGCTGCCACCTCTGCCTGCCTGTCCCACCTGCAGCACCTGATGCCATTCCAGCCTGGTTGGTCCTAAAACAACTAAAACTGTGCATGAGATGAACACCCCACCAGTAGCCCCACTGAGCTCACATGGCTGGAGATTGGGGATAGCAGAGCCAATGCACCACTGTTTCCTGCCTTACTGCCAAGGTTTGCAGCCCACCTGACCCCCAGCACTGCTGTTCTGCTGCTGGCAGACTGCGCAGGGAGCAGCAGGCAGCAAAAACGCAGCGCTCTGAGATCTGTCTGCTGCATTTCAGAGGCTGGAATTCTCCCTGCACCTGGTGTTCTGCAAAGCACTGCACCACGTGCAGCAGGCAAGGTGCCGAGCAAAATGGGAGCAGGCCATCCCTCTGTGAGAGCAGGGCTGCAGCCACAGCAGCTGCTCCCAGCCAGCACTCCTCCGTGTGCCTGCACCCCTGCGGCAGCTCTGTGCTCCCTCTGCTCCCTCTCCCTTTGAGCCCTTTGCTGGGGATGCGCAGCTGTAATTACAGCACAGGGGAAGATCCCATTCCCCCAAAGAGCCACGGTAATTACTGCTGTGCATTGGCCCAGGAGAGCTGGAGCAGCGTGCTGCTGGGGCTGGGAGAGCGAGGGGAGATGCAGATGGAGAGGGAAGCTGCTCCCTGTTGGGATCCCCATCCTCTCCTCCAGTACAGCTTTCCCCTTTCTCTGCAGCATCGCTTTGTGCGGTCGCTGTTGGCTGAGGGCCTTTGGGCTGAGCCCATGGATGCTCTCACCCAGCTCTGAGCCATTCCCCAAAGCGCACACAGCACACACAGCTCCACCACAGCCCCAGGATGATGGGGTCCATGGGGTCAGGTGCCCCCAACTCCTCACACAGCTCGGCAGAGCAGCACTGCAGCAGCTCCCATTGCCTCCAAGAGCTGAAGTCCATCACTGCTGAGCTCCCATCCTGGCAGCCCTGGCTAAAACCAGTCCAACAAAACCCACAATAAATCCACACAGGGAATGTGTCTGCGTGAAGATAACAGTGTGCCTCCCTGCATTTCCTCTCTTATTGATTAACACCTCTTAATGACTCTGGATAAAAAAAATCTCTCGTAGTCATCGCCTGTCACAGAAGATCAATGGAAAGGCATTTAGTGAGATACAGAGGCAAACAGCCCCACAGTTCCCTGCAGGAGCCGTCCCTGAGGGCAGCACCACTGCTGCCCAATCAATAGTTCACTCTGACCTCTCCCTATTGCTTGCTTTTTTTCCCCTTGAGCTGGCAGGGCAGCAAACCTGCTCTTGGCTTTATCAAGGACTAGATTATAACTATCTCGATTGATCTGATATGTAAAGGACACCGGGGCCTCTCCAGCCGTCTGCACTGGAAGAGCTCCCGGAGCTGCACAGGCCCTCGTTAACCCCTGGATCCATAAAACCCATGCCAATTAGCCCCAGTCATTAGCCAGTGAGCCCAATCAGCTGTGGGCGCTGTGCACGGTGTGGGTGAATGGCCTAAAGCTTTGTGGGGGGCACAGGAAGGAGCACTGGAGCCTGGAACCCTCACCCATGTGCCTGGGACATGGACAGGGGTGGGGACCATGCGGACGTCCCACTGCCCCCACTCATGAGATACAGCCACACCTGCAGCGTTGCTATCCCTCGTTTGATTGGATTAATTAATCATTTGGTTATAACTGCTCATTAAGCATTCCAGCAATCAATACTAATCACTTAATTACTTGGCATATTACAGCTGGGGAAGGTCTGCTCGTTCCTAATTACATTCTTTGGACAATCCACCCCTGGCAATCTCAGAGCCCCATAGCAGAGGCACTCGGAGCCGTTCGGCAATGACCCACATTTGGCATCCCTCGCCCTGCGCCCATCCTGGCAGCTTCCCCCCCCCCCCCCCATGCCGTTAATTGCCGGCACGCGGTGCCCGTTCATCTCCAGGCCGCGGTGCCGTCGGTCGTCGAAGTGAAATGGAAGTGGGGGATCTGAAGCGTGAGAAAGGGACAAGCAGATAACGCGAGGAGTTATTAATAGCGAGTTCTTTTAGAATCGGCCTTGTGCGGAGCCGTCCCGGAGCGCTCCCCGTCCTATTTCTGCTCACCCGGCGTACAAAGCAGCCCCTGTTTCGCTGGAGGTTTCCCAAACGCGACGCTCTGAGCGCTGCTGCTGCTGCTGCTCGGCTTTCGCGTTCGGAAGGCAGCGAGCGCACAAGGAAGAACAGCGTTACACGCAGAGCTCTGCAGCCGCTCGGGGCCGGGAGCGGCATCCCCGGAACGCAGCGGGGTCAATGCGGGGCTGGAGGGAGGCTGATGGGTGGTGGGCACAGCCCAACCGCGCGGCGCCGAGCCGGGCATCCTCCGCTTCCCCCCCCCCCCAGAGCTGCGGCGGAGCTGCGTGCACCGCCCCGCGCCGGGCGGAGCCGAGCCGGGCCGAGCCGATCTGAGCCGAACCGGGCCGAGAGCGCTGCGGTGGTGCGGACGGGCGGCGCGGCTCGGCCCCCCGACCCCCCGGAGCGAGGCGGGGGCCGCCGCCATGCCTCCCGGAGACTGAGGCCCGCGGGCGCGGGGTGCCCGCAGCATGCGGAGGGTCCGGCGGTTGGTGCACCTGGTGCTGTTCTGCCCCATTTCCAAAGGCCTGCAGGTACCGCCCGGGGGGAGATCCTGACCGGGGGGGGTTGGGGAGGGGGGCGGGATCTGGGATGGAGAGGGGAGATCCGGGCCGGGGGAGGCTCGGTGCTGCCCATCCCAGCATCCCGGCACAAAGGGATGCTTCGTAGCGCTGCGCCGGGTGCTGGGGATGGCGATGGGATGGGGATGGGGACCGGAGATGGGCACCGGGACACGGTGACGG